GGGGGGGGGGGGGGGGGGGGACCTTTGGCGAAGGGAGTGACGGGATGTGGTCCCGCGTGGACACGACGATCGGCCAAGCCAGACCGACGGTTTTCGAGAAATTCGATTTTCCCGCGGGATCTCCGAAGCGGGGAGGTTCGGCGTCCGTCGGTCCGGCCTCGTCGAACGGGCTCCACGGTGCGTAAACGCATTCGGCAAACAATGATCGAAACGCGTGCACGAAATCAACGAAGGTATCGCGCGAAACAAAACATACTCAGCGCCTAGAAAGCTGTGGAGGATTTGCGAGCCTTCGCCAAAGGGGGGTAGTAGTATCCGATCGAGAGACAAACACCAAAAACAAAAAAGTAGAAAAAAAAATATATATATACGTATATGCATATATACATCGTGCGTGTATATATTATATATACGTATACGTATGTATGTATAAAAAAAAAAAAAGAAATGGAAGATCCGTATATACGAAAAGGAGAGAGTAGAATCGTTGTTATGCTTGCGCGGGATTCTGCGGGACGGTAATCGCCGGAAACGGCGTTGCCACGAGTATCGTTCGACTTCGCGCGTCGTTTTCTGTCGTATCTTGTTTTTTTCTTTTTTTTGCTCAAAGTCGTATCTTTTTTCCGAAGAAAAATTGTATTGCTTGAAAGGACAGCCAGCGACAATGGGAAACAGATGTTGAGCGGAGAGATGTGTCTGCAGGATACTCGGGGTACTGGGCCTGGAAAGCAGGACCTGGAAATAAAGGATTAAGACGATATCCTCTTCTTTCGCCGTGGTCGGCGACGATGTCTTCCGGCGACTCCGAGAGCGTCGAAGACGGTGGACGGTCGACGTACCTCGTGCGCGGGTGCTGCTGCCGACGTCTTTCTTCCATTGCTATGCAACCTTATCGCTACGATATATATATATACATATATATATAATATACATATACATATATATATAAACATGTATGTGTATCTCACCTGTTACGCTAGAGAGACCGAGCTGGCGTTACGGTCGTCGCATGCACGAGAACAAGACAAGACGCACGGGGACGGGGACGAGGGCGCGTTCCACGCGCCGGATCACCGTTCCCCGATTCCGACACCGATCCCCGTACCGGCGCGGCGTCCCTTTTCGACGATACCATCGACCCAACGGTATCGCGGCCACGATCGACGCGCGCCGTTCCCTCTGGCAACGCTTCTTTCGTCTCGCGATTTCTTATTCCTGGCCGTATCCCGACCGAACGTTGCCGAGCCGCCGAATCGTTTTCTATTCGAACGTTTCGCTAGGACGCGCGAGCTGCCGCGTTCCGATCGAATGGTCCACGGTCGCGAAAACGATATTTTCGTAGCGACACTCGGCCGAGAGCCGCGTCGTCGTTTCGGTCGGTCCCAAGTTGCCGAATCGCGTGCATCGGTTATCCATGGGATACCTGTAAAACGATCTTTTATCCGTTTCTCGTTCGTCGGAAACGATTTTGCACCGCTCGGCGACAAAATCGTCGCCGACGACGATCCGAAATCGATTCGAAATCGATCGCGAACGGACGTCTCGACGCGTCGATCGGCGTCGCGACGCGATTCGTGCGGCGAGACGATTCGGTCGGGGACCACGGCCGGATCGACGCGTTCGGAAAAAGGGGACCGTCGACCGGCGCGCGCTCGCGCGCCTCGGTATACCGAGAGGCCGAGAAAGGTCCGATCACGGGAGAAACGAGCAACGCGAAAACGGACGAACGAAAAGAGAGCGGGCTTCTCCGGGGCTGGTGATCGGGGCACGGGGGTTGTGGGCGTGTTTCGTACGAAACGTCGTCGACACCGGCGACGAGGAAGAAAGAAATCGGAAAGTATTTGTCGGGGGGGTTGGGGCAAAGGGTTCTCTCGGGGGGTACGTGTGTCGCGCGAGAGATCTACCGTAAAACGTAGCCGGGACGAGTTCGACTTTGTTTCGATTTCGGGAATCGTGGAAGCGACGCGCTTCTTTCTTTGGACCGGTTCAACGGGTTCCGACGAATATACCGATACGATATTTGTCCATTCGAATAAATATCGCGCGGGCATATTCGAGGATCGAACGTACGCCGAAGGTGTGTATATATAAAAAGATAAATACATATAAATATACATATATAACATGTAAAATATGGAAGCGATGCGAGGGCGGGAAGGGGGGTGGCGGCCCGGAGTTCCTCCGAACACACGGGGGACCACCACACCCCCTCGCGCCGTTCCCGATCTCGGTAGCCATCGGCGTCGGGGTGCGCGCATCGCGGTATACTCTCGGTACTCACCTCATATTGATGAGATATTGTGCCAATGCTACGGCGTCCGGATTTCCGGTAATGGTGATCGTACGATCCGTGGCTCCGCCTTCTCTCTCCTCGCAGTTACTGATTCTGATCATCGCGCCGGAAATCTGACGGATCTCGGCGATCTTGCTGCCGCCCTTCCCGATGATGCATCCGATCAACTCGTTGGGCACGGTGAGCTCGTGCGTCTGATTGTTCGCAGCGGGCTGTTGCCTGTTCGTGTTGCTGGTGCGCAGCTGGCTGCCGGCTAGCGCTGCCAGTGCTGGAACCAGTGTTTTCTTTTCTTTCCTTTTCTCTATCTTACACGATGGGATACACGCGTCGGAACGTCGCGACCCGTTCGGATACGCGAATCTGTTCCGTCGGCGTCTCTCGGACGCGAAGCATCGAACGAACGGTAAACGATTTTAACTCGGAAACGATATCGAACGTAGAACCGATGGACGCGAAAAATGCTGTTGCAACGCTTTCGACGAAGACGTCTTCTTCTTTTTTTTTCTCTCACGCGAGCAATTGCTAGGATCTTGTAAAAATCCGCGGTCCGACGCGACCGGTGCGCGAAACGTTTCGACCGGATCTCGACGGATCGCGAGGCATCGTCGCTCTCCGTCGAAGAATCGAATACCGCGCTCGCGGTATATAAATATATATATTATATATAATATATAATATACATAAATATATAATATATTCTATCGCGAAAGCGATCCTCTATAGAATCGATAAAATGTCGAAAATCCACCAAGTCGTCGAAACGAACGGGGGCGGTTGTCGCGGGTCTTACCTGCAGGATTGAGTCCGCCGGTGTTGGCAGGTGTGGCCAGGCCTCCGAGGCCGAGAGCCGCGAGCCCAGCCAACGGATTGCTACCGAGCTTTCCCATCTGTAACAACGACGAAGAGATCCATCGCTCAACAAATTAGAATCACGCGTGTGCCGGCTCTGAACGAACTCGTTGTAAAGTGCTTCAAGGGGCTATGTACGAAGACACCGAGATAAAAGTATATGGTATATACGATGTACATGTATCTAAAAGGAGGTATTATGGTATCGTAATCCGCCTGCTTCTCCTCGCGCGTCTCGCGTTCCAAGGATCGTGGTCGATCGTGGAAGAGTCGTCGAACGTCGACGGAACCCGAACGCGGTAAAGGACGACCGATCGAAACGGAAAATAATCGAATATCGAACGAGAGGAAAGCGGGGGGAAAAAGAAAGACGACGCGCGAAACGATCCCCGATCGAAAATTTTCTGTTCGTTCTTCGTCGAGATCTTCCATCGATCGTCTCTCGGGCGGCGCGCCACCGTAAATCCCGATCCATCGACCGAGTCCCGGCTCTTTTCGGGACCGATCGTCGATCCGGAGCGTGTCTCGCGATTGGCGTTTCAGCCGCGATTCCGATCTCCGTGCGACGGAATCTCCTCTCCCGGGCCGTCGACGAATTCGCGGCAATCGATCGAACGAAATCGTACGTTGCACGCGTCTACCGTATTACACGCGTGCACGTACATGGAAACGATAAGAGAGAAACCGCCGCTCCGATCGGCGTCGCGTCGCGACCGATATACTGGAATCTCGAGCGTGTGTCTCCGCCTCTGCCTCCGCACTGATTCGAATTTCCCGTCGGTCGATTCCGTCGATCGGACGCGTCGCGCCCGCGCTTCGCGCGCGAATCGGACCCCGAGCGAGGGTCGGGTCGATCCCCGCGCTGCTTCGAGGATCGTAAACGGGAAGGATGGGACGGAATCGGATCGGATCGGATCGGGGAGGGCGCTGCGAGAATCGGTCGAGTCGACGATCGGTTCTCGAGGCACGAAATTGGGCGGCGGGCCAGGGCCGGGGCTGCGATCGGTCGATCGACGCCCGCGATATTCCCGGAAAAGCTGATCGCGCGACTGCACGGCGCGATTCGGGCAACTTTTTATTCCAACGCTACGATTAAAATACAATCCGGGATTTGGAGGTGTTCGAGGGAATTTGCAAATCCGTTGAACCGTGAGTTTTTATACGAATGTCGCGGACAGCGAGCGACCTGTACGAAATCCGTGGTCCAGCGATCGCAAACGATGACAAACTGTCGGAGAATACGGTTTGAAAATCTTTATTCGCGGCTCTCGAGTTTTTTCGTTTAAAAACCGCGACGAATTGTTCGGATTTCCGAAGAGTTTCCGACATCCGAACTCGTCTCTGCTCCGGAAACACCGTGGAAAAGAAGCTAAACTACGAATCGACGACGAAAGAAGCGTCGCGCGTTCTTCTCGGCAGCTAAATCAGGGACGATCTTGTCGGGAAATGAATCGCTCGACACGATGCGTGTGCCAATGTACGGCTTTGTATTGAGAGAGAGAGAGAGAGAGAGAGAGAGAGAGAGAGAGAGAGAGAGAATAGTCGCGAATAGACGATCCGGACAACTTTTTCGCAAAGTTGGAGAGACCTCGTCCGCGACCGATTGCTCGCCTATCGGAGATTCTAGCGACGAGAGGAACAACCTCGGGGATGAAAGGAAGATAAAAAAACGAGGCGGAGGAGAAAAACCGTGAGAAAAAAAGCGCGCAAACGTTTCACGATGGTTCGGTTTCGCTGCGCCCGATCGGCGCTCGATCGAAACGACAACGATCTCGCTCGCGTCGAATTTCCTTTTCGAAACGGTGCAACCGGTTTTGCAACGGTTTCGATCGCCGATCCGGTAACGAAACTCTCGCGTTTACGAACCGCGTTCGAATTTTCACCGGGTATCCTCTCCCGGCGAACGGTCCGGTTCGAGTCAATCGAAAAACGCGGATCTTTCGCGCGTCGATCGCATCGATCGACGAATTTTACGCGTCGTTTCGAAGTTGCGCCTCTCTCGATCCATGGAAACTCTTTCTACCTCGACTATCCGCGAACGTGGAACGCCTTTCGACCCGACCACGGGCACGACGATCTACCGATAAAAAAAAACAGCGACGGCGCTACTTTCAGCGGCACGAACGATCTTCCACGAACCGATCGAGTTCGATTCGACCGTGGTCGTTCTCTGGGATCTTGACGAACGAACGAATTTGAATCGAACCACGGCGAGGGTGCGTTTCACGGGAAAACGCGCGCAGGTCTGATTAGAACAACCTTGGGACGGCGTTTCCGGGTCGTCGAACCAGCATTTTCGCGCGAAACTCGGACGAGATCGCGACGCTCGCTGCTCGTAAATCGGGGAACGGAATAAACGAAAAATATCGAATCGAGCCGATACGCGACGGTCGCGGTGTTTCGTTCTAGCCTGCTCAAGATGGTGGAGAGACGCGGTGTCAGGGCAGCCCACCCTCGCGCGAACCTTCTTGATTCGTAGCTAGAGAGAGTGCTGAAAAGCCATGCTGTTCTAAGAGGGAAATGGCAGCGAAGGCGACGGCGACGGCGACGGCGATGGAAGGAACGAACGAAACGCAAAAAGAAATCGGAAAGACGGAAAAAGAGAGAAAGCGAGGGAAAGAAATCGATGTTTGGCGCGTCGCCTCGGTATCGTTCTTCCAATATCGGTCGCGACGTCGAACGCGCCGGTTCCGAGTCCCGAACAAAATACGAGAAATAGAATAGAATTGAACAGAGATGCGAACGACCGTGTAAAACTGAAGAGGAACGCGAAAGAAGGAGAAAGAGGAGGAAGAGGAGAGAGAGAGAGAGAGAGAGAGAGAGAGAGAGAGAGATGGTTTCTTGCGAAGCCGTAAAAAACGAAAGCGTGTACATACGTGTATTGCTCTTAAAGATTTTTGTTCTCGAACGTTTCGGCGACGCGTCTCGTCTCGCTACCGCCGAGCCGAAGCGAGATCTCGACTCGCGGATATTTGCTTTTCTCGTCTCGTCTCGTCTCGTCTCGATACGGTTCGGCGACGCGCGACGTCGGTTCGTTCGCCCAGGCCTCGGCGGTGGATAGCGTACCGAAAATCGCGGTCGAAAGCCGCGCTGGAAATATCGCTCGGTCTTCTGTCCGTTACTCGGCTCGAACCAGAGATTTACGCGGGATCTTCGAACCCAAAGATTCGCCAAAGATCGCGCGATTTCGGGAGCGTGTCCGCGCTTGCGAGCGAAACGTTTTTTCTTTCGGTTCCGGCGTTTTGTCGCCGGAAGAGAGCTTCTGCACCGTGCCAACTCTTCTCGGAGTTAAAAGCTTCCGCGTGCACCGCGTTTCGTGCAAATCGCTCGTGGAACGATCGGTTCGAGACGGCTAGGACGTTTTTCCGTTTCGTTCTTGCGCGGAGGAGAGCGGTGCGCGCGAAATTCCAGCACGAACGAAGGAAAACGGTGAGACCGTCCTCTCTGGGAAAGACGTTTCGACGTTTCTCGTCGTTCGTCGGTTTCCAAGAAAAAAAAAAGAAAACTTTCGCGTCAAGATTTTTCACGAAACGGGAAGCGTTCGATAAATTTAGTCGCGCGCGACTGCTCGCAATCGGGAGGACTCTTTCGTCCAATTGCGAAAAGCCTCGAAAACGCAGCTCGGCCGTCGATCATTCTCGACGCTCTTCCGCGATTCGTCGGATCCACCGCGCGGGATTATTTTTCTTTCCGAAATTCTGAAACGGTCGAACGCGGCGGGTTTGTTCGGCCGCGATGCGACGACTCGCGTCATCTGGAACACGCTTGTTCAATAATTCGGTGCGTCGACAGGGACAGGCCCGAGAGAGCGAGAGCGCTGTTTGCGCTTCGGCCGCGCGCAAAAAGAGTCCCTAATTAGCAAACGTCGCCGTTAAAGCCGATAATTATGTTTGCCGTCCGATGTTCGCGTCGACGGATAGAAAATGCGGAACGCGGAATCGATTGCTACGACAAACGAACCCGCCTCTCTCGCCCGCAACGAAAAAGTCTCGAACTCGCGACCCGTTCGAACGACGCGTCGCCGCTTCGCGCGATCGATCGAAACGCGAGAAATTCTTTTTTACGACCGAGAAAAATTAGAAGCTCTTTTTTCCGAGCGGTCGCAATCGCCGCGAATAAAATTGTTGCTCCGCCATCGATTTTCAAAATTCGTCGTCCGACCGTTTCTACGCTCGCGGTTTTTTCTTCTTCTTTGCATTTATCGAATCATCGACGCAACAAATTCGAACGTTCGAAACGAATTGCAAGTAAAATGCGAGTTATACACGCCCGATAGAAATTGCGGGGGTACGACGAACGGCGCGCGTCCGCTATCGTCGATCCTTTCGTTCTCAAACGCCGGGTTTCTACGCGAGAGCGACCCGGCGCCTCCGTCGACTCCGCGAGTTTCGCTCTCGAAAGTTGGAACAACGACGGGCGCGCGGGGCTCCGCCGTCGAGAGCGAAATCCACGGGCCGACGCGCGGCGTCGTTTCCCTCGGCACGCACGCGTACATTCGACGCGCGACTGCCGAAACAAACGAAACGCGGAGCGACGCGACGCAGAGAGAGAGAGAGAGAGCGAGCGAGAAAGAGAGAGAAACGAAAGCACCGTGCCCCGAACAGGCCCGGGCTAGAGCTCGAGCTTCCCCTATTTGCCGACCGACCAGCTCTCGCGTTCGATTCGAAAGATCGCAAAAATATCAGGATGGCGTTTCGTCGCATCTGCCGACAGCGATGGGATCCGGACCGCTCGCCGATGTCCCGGTAGACCGTCGAATGTCCCGATCCAGATCCTCTAGAATCTCGAGACTGCTCTATAAAAAGTCGATTCTCCCCCCCCCCCTAGAAGTACAGGGAGCGGGAGAGAAAGAAAGAAAAAAAGAAAGAAAGAAAGAAAGAAAGAAAGAAAGAGAGAGAGAGGGAGAGAGATGGTAGTTGGGGAGCACGGGATCCCATCGCTGTCCGCGGGGGTCTCCGTTCGAAAGACGCGACCGTTGGAAGATCCATTGGCTCCGTCACCGTGCGAACCAACGACTAGCCACGAAGAATCCATCGTGCGACCTCCCCGACGAGAGTAAGCGTTCATGCTAAAGCAGGCTCGATCAGCCGGGAAAGAGTTTCGTCGGGCTGAAACAGCCGCCAACGCGAACCTCTGTCCCGGTGGGACCAGCGTTTTCTACGCGACGGTCGTACCGATCGAATCGGCGGGGGGGCCCCGCGAACGAAGAAACGGAAACGGAAGACGCGACGTTTTCCGTTCCCCTTTCGGTCCGTTCTCTGGGTTCGACCGTCGCGCGTCCGGCAAGGTTTACGCGAAGGGTAGAAACACGGCGGCGACCGATCGACGGAGCGCGCGCGATCGGACTAGATCGGACCGAATACTTGCTCCGATTCCTCCGAGTTCTCCGCGCGAAATTATTTTCGTCGTATCTCACCGGAAAGGCGGGCATCGTCTCTCTCGACCGTTCTAATTTCGATCGACGAAGACGCGTGTTCGATAGAAAAATGAAATCTCGCGCGCGACTCGCGGACGAAGACGGTTGGCGGAGGAGAGCGAAGTATCGAAACGAAGGAAACGAAGAATCGCGAGCCGATCCCGACCGATCGGTTTCGCTCCTGCGATCCGGTCGCGCTTCCGGCCGAGCGTTCCAATATATTCCATGTCGCATGCAACGAATCAATCTGTGCACCGTGAAGGAGACGGCAAGCGGTTCTCCAGGCAATCAACCCACTACCAATCGCAAGCACAACACAGGGAGAAACGTGGAGTGTAGCGCCGAGAGAGACCTCGGCAGCGGGGACAGTACATATCGGAAGCGTTTCGGTGAACGCACCAACGAAAGAGATCGACGGGGAAACCAGAGAGAACAAAGGGGCCAGGGGGTACGGAGAAACCAGAGACGACCGATACACGTAATAAACAGACACGTGCGGATCACAGAAAAAGCAAAGCGCATGATCAAACGCGCGCGACCGCCCGTCGATTCCGCTCGCTCTTTCGGATTCTCGTTCGCGTCTCGTTTTTCGAGACGTTCGCGATCGGAGGATTCCCGACCGATATCGAACTGCTCGGTAAACGCGTGTTTCGATTCGACTCTGCGGTTCCTTTCTGTCCGGCAGAATTCCAAATGAATTTCGTCCGAATTGGACGGCGATTCGGCGGGCGGATTCGTGGCGGAATTTACGGGCGAGTCGCGCGATCGGAAGACGTCGACGGGACTCGCGCAGCCCCGAGAGCTTTTTCCCTTGAAGAAACGAAGAGAGAAGGAGAGCAAGAAAGAAAGAAACGAGGCATCCCCTCGACGAGGAAGGGAAACCCGCGAGAATTGCCGTATACGGTTGCTCCTCGAGCGCCGAGGAACGGAAAGCGTTCTCCGCCGGCTCGGCCGAGGAAAAGAGCTCGTTTCACCGGACGATTCGATTTACTCGGGGCTCCGCGAGGACGTCGAGCGGAAAGCCAAGGTGTTTCGGGTGCCGATGCATGTACGTGGACCAAGGTGGTTGGGGGGCTCGTAAAAGGGTTTTCCAGGACGGGGAGGCTGTAGGCCGGGTGGCCTGTACAACGCGGTGGAGCATTCCGGTACACGCGGGCAAACATTCTACGCGACGACGCTGCGGCATTTGGTGAAAATTGGATACTCGGCGAGGACGGTTCCCGAATAACCGGCCGAACCGCGAACCCCGAACCTCGAACTTCGAACAATGAAATATCGAAACTGCTCGAAGCGGAAAATCTATCCTGGCTCGACGACGGGGACACACCTCGGAAAGTAGCAGAGTTTGAAAAATTGCAGCAGCGAACGGCGGCTCCATTAAATTACGACATTACCGTAATTCGTGCATTTATTCGCGAATAAAATAAGACGCAAGATTTCTTTACGGTAATCGAAACATTGTCCGCGGATTTGACGCGTTTATGACGGAAACGAAGCGGACGAGACGTAAAGACGTAAAACGTTGGGATCGTTTCAAGAATTCTTTTAAATCGCATCGGTGTTATCGAGAAAAGAAATACACGAGGACCGTGGCGTCTCGATCTCGCGATCGATACGGACAATTTTCACGACCGAAGTGGCCGGAAGAATCTCTTCCATATAATGATGGCCAGATTTCGGAACGAAAGCGAAATCTGCCAACCGCGAAAGAGAGAAGATCGAAAGGGAAACTGCTTCGCGGTATCCGTTCGAACGAGAGCACAGCAGTTTCTCTTTAAGAAATTTCGTCGGAGATATCGAGGAACGGAGTCGCGAGTTCTCGAGAATATAACCCCAGTTTTACGAGCAACAACGGAAGGTACGAACCGAAGTATAAAAACGCCTTTGTAAACGCGGCGTTAAAAACGCGCGCTCCGCGAGACAATCGTTTATCCCGCCGTAACAAAGTTGGCGCGGCGAGACTTCGCCGCGCACAGTCGCCGTTCCATTCTACAGATATTTTTTCTCCATCTCGCCGTTTCGCCGGGTCTATCTCTATTTTCGAATCGCGAAGAGCCTGCGAACCGTTCCCGACTCGGCGTCCGATGTCCGAAAATTATGCTTCTCAAAAATACTCTTCCGCCGTTTAGACGTTTCTTCGACCGAACCGTACCAACTTCGAAGTCCCTCTTTCCGCGAAGAGGAACCCTCGAATTCTCGCCGGATCCTGAAAGATCCTCCGTTGCATCGGTCGCGAATCGGCGAACGTATTCTCCCCGAGCCGTCGAATTCGACGAAAGGGGTTCCAGACTTTCACCAATTACCCGTCATCGTCGGGGTTGTCGCGTACAATGCGCGACTCGCGAACAAAGCCCGACCAGAGAAACACGCGGGGTGACGAATAGAGGGGCGGGAGGGAGGGAGCGCGTGCGGTATCGGGCGTCGGTGAATCGGTCGGCGGGTGGCGCGTGTCTTTTGCGGAGGTTCTGGCAAGTCGCATGGGGGCTCGCGGTTCGTGTACGCTCGTTGGGNGGACGTCGAGCGGAAAGCCAAGGTGTTTCGGGTGCCGATGCATGTACGTGGACCAAGGTGGTTGGGGGGCTCGTAAAAGGGTTTTCCAGGACGGGGAGGCTGTAGGCCGGGTGGCCTGTACAACGCGGTGGAGCATTCCGGTACACGCGGGCAAACATTCTACGCGACGACGCTGCGGCATTTGGTGAAAATTGGATACTCGGCGAGGACGGTTCCCGAATAACCGGCCGAACCGCGAACCCCGAACCTCGAACTTCGAACAATGAAATATCGAAACTGCTCGAAGCGGAAAATCTATCCTGGCTCGACGACGGGGACACACCTCGGAAAGTAGCAGAGTTTGAAAAATTGCAGCAGCGAACGGCGGCTCCATTAAATTACGACATTACCGTAATTCGTGCATTTATTCGCGAATAAAATAAGACGCAAGATTTCTTTACGGTAATCGAAACATTGTCCGCGGATTTGACGCGTTTATGACGGAAACGAAGCGGACGAGACGTAAAGACGTAAAACGTTGGGATCGTTTCAAGAATTCTTTTAAATCGCATCGGTGTTATCGAGAAAAGAAATACACGAGGACCGTGGCGTCTCGATCTCGCGATCGATACGGACAATTTTCACGACCGAAGTGGCCGGAAGAATCTCTTCCATATAATGATGGCCAGATTTCGGAACGAAAGCGAAATCTGCCAACCGCGAAAGAGAGAAGATCGAAAGGGAAACTGCTTCGCGGTATCCGTTCGAACGAGAGCACAGCAGTTTCTCTTTAAGAAATTTCGTCGGAGATATCGAGGAACGGAGTCGCGAGTTCTCGAGAATATAACCCCAGTTTTACGAGCAACAACGGAAGGTACGAACCGAAGTATAAAAACGCCTTTGTAAACGCGGCGTTAAAAACGCGCGCTCCGCGAGACAATCGTTTATCCCGCCGTAACAAAGTTGGCGCGGCGAGACTTCGCCGCGCACAGTCGCCGTTCCATTCTACAGATATTTTTTCTCCATCTCGCCGTTTCGCCGGGTCTATCTCTATTTTCGAATCGCGAAGAGCCTGCGAACCGTTCCCGACTCGGCGTCCGATGTCCGAAAATTATGCTTCTCAAAAATACTCTTCCGCCGTTTAGACGTTTCTTCGACCGAACCGTACCAACTTCGAAGTCCCTCTTTCCGCGAAGAGGAACCCTCGAATTCTCGCCGGATCCTGAAAGATCCTCCGTTGCATCGGTCGCGAATCGGCGAACGTATTCTCCCCGAGCCGTCGAATTCGACGAAAGGGGTTCCAGACTTTCACCAATTACCCGTCATCGTCGGGGTTGTCGCGTACAATGCGCGACTCGCGAACAAAGCCCGACCAGAGAAACACGCGGGGTGACGAATAGAGGGGCGGGAGGGAGGGAGCGCGTGCGGTATCGGGCGTCGGTGAATCGGTCGGCGGGTGGCGCGTGTCTTTTGCGGAGGTTCTGGCAAGTCGCATGGGGGCTCGCGGTTCGTGTACGCTCGTTGGG